GTAATCCCAGGGCCCCAGTGACATTGTCTCCATCTTTTTTTTCCCTCATCATTGGGGGGCTGGGCACTGGCACGCTCTCAACTGCAACAGTGACTTCTCCTTGGAGCTCTCCTTGGAAAATAATTGCTTCCGAAATGACAACTGCTGCTGTTGGATGCTAAAATTGTAAAAGTTCCCCGATCCCGATTCCGATTGGGATCCGATCCGATCCTCAATCCACATCCCCCAAGAGAGAGGGAGAGAGAGAGAGCGAGGTTGACGTTCTGGCAACATGTGTGCGCGCCTGCGCGTGCCAACAATGTAAATGCAGCCTGGCGATGGAAATGAAGATGGGAATTGGAATTGGAATGGAAATGGAAATGGAAATGGTGTGGTATGACTTGGTTTTTGGTATGGCAATGGTTTTGGGGTGAAGTACAGGCACTCAGAAAAATAATTTATATAAAATAAAATATTAAATAATATGAAAATAATATTAAAAGATTCTTTTTTTTTTTAATCAGAACTTTGGTTTATTTTTAAATTAAATCCCAAGAAAGAGCTGAAGAAGAGTGTTTGTTTACAGGATATTTATATAGAAATATATGTCTAGATGTCTAGATTAAATCGCCTTATTTTACTATTAAAGAATACATATGTATTATGACCCAAAAGATATATTTTTTGTATTGAAAAGTAACAGTTTTCTAATAGTAATACTTGTTCTTTGTACATTTCTTAAATTATTTCAAAATTTATGCAAAGATCCTTGTATATCATTATAGTTTCTTTTAAAATCTCTCAATTAATACCCTTAATTTCTCTCTGTGTCTATGATGGCGTCGCTTATTTACCGTTAAGTCGCCACGGCTGTCAATCAGCCGCCAAAAAGACTCAGCCACAAGGCAGACAAGGGCATTCCACAGGCACTCCTGCGAAGATGTCTGGATGCATATTCTCGATCTTGAACTGGGGCCCATATGTCGTTCTCTCCTCAACTCCCAGCATTTTTATCTATTTTTAGCGAAAACTCTTGGGGCAAGGCACTGCACGCCTGCGCACATACACACACACGCAACCACCCTTGATTTTCACATTTAGTTTTCCAACTTTACCGTTCGTTCACTCACTTTCCCAGCACTTGGCATTAATGGTTCTTCTGAGAGATCCAAGACCAAGTCTCAGGCTCATCTTTAGCTTCGGCTTTAAGAAAATTTATGACTTTTGTGCCGGAAATAGATTGGGATTTTGGGTTTGAAAGTAAGAGGCAGCCTTTTTCATGCTTATTGGAATTATCTATGGTTTGGATTTCCTTCGTTCGATCTTTATAAACAAGCATATGGTAGAAAAAGTAATTTAATATGGCAGCTAGTTCTTTGTAGAGGCTAAATGTCATTATTTTTAATTTTTCATAGATAGGAGATTTTAGAGAAAATATTTTAAAAGAATAATTACCTTTGGTTTAATATATTCGAGGGAGATGTGATATATGGGGATAACATTGAAATTTGAATTGATTAATACAGATATACTATAGGAATATATCTGTTTATATAAATTAAATTTTTTTTACTAACTTTTAAATATTTTATAATTTTTAAAAGTATTAGTAAGAAATAAGACTTCGTTTTCTAATTCTACATAAACTAGGCATATTAAATTAAAAGTGCACAAATTTAAGTCACTCTTTATTATTATTAAAAAACTAATTATTAGTAATTAATATTAATTTTCCCTAGCAGGGTATCATAATTTTAGTCAGGAGCTAATAATTATGTGATGGAGTCATTTCCGACCCTATAAATCATATATATTCTTGATCAGCATTACCAGCCGAATCGAACTAGCTATCTTAGACAAAAAAATAAGAAATTTTAATTTTTTCAAAATTTTTATGGAGGTTAAAATTAAAAAAAAAAAAATTGATAAAAATTCAAATTTTTTAAAATTTTAAATTGAATATGCAGTTTTAGTAACCTAACAAAAACTAGCTTAAAAATGCTTACCGATTTAAAATAAATGCTTTTTTGGCTTAGTTATGAATTTTTGAATTTTTGGTTTTGACTGAAAAAATTGCCATGTAGAAATAACGATAAATTTTGACTCAGAGGCAACTGCTTTCTTTAGGAACACTATTCTACATTACACTCTGCATCGCACATGCACTGCTTGCTTACATGAGACATTTTGCCTCGTAGAATACATGTAAAAATACATGTAGAAAACATGTTAACAGACATGTAGAATTACATGATAAATTATAATACAACTCGCCCTCTAGCGGGTTATTGTTGGTCTGATTTGTGGCTTCCGTCTTGGCTAAATAAAATATAAATATATTTAAATTAATTTTAAATAGCATTGAAAATTTTAATTTATATGAAAAAAACGTGAAAGATTAGTTAAAACCATATAAAGAATAATCTAAAATCCCAAATCTTTTTTTTTCTACCATTCCATAAAATTCCTAGATAAAACGCAATTGGTGCATATATGAATTCCTTTCATTATTGAGAGTGTATTTTTATTATGATATATTATTTAATGCATTTTGTATTAAGAAAATTATTATTATAATAATTATATAATTATTTTTGGTAAAAGGGAATAAATTAAAAACAACATTGAAAATCTGAAAATGTTACGCCTAAATTGTATGAATTTGGGAAAGCCTTCAATCCTATTTTCCTAAAAATAATTTAATAAATTATATTATAATGTTTTATTCATATATTTTCTAATATAGTTTTTATAATAAACAAAAAAAAAATAAAGTAATAAATAAAAATGTTAAAAATTAAATTGAAAACCCGAAAAAGGTGTACCGAAATTCTATGAATCTAGGAAGGTCTTCAATCGTATTTTCATTGTAAAATTTAAAAAATAATATTATATTGTTTTATTTATATATCTTTTTAATATAATTTATATATTAAACCTAAAAAATAAAGAACTAAGCAAAAAAAGTAAAAAAATTAAATCGAAAAACCGATAAAAAGTACACCGAAATTGTATGAATCTAGGAAAGTCTTCAATCCTATTTTCATTGTAATAATTTAATAAATAATATTAAAACGTTTTATTTATATATTTTTTAATATAATTATTATAATAAACATTAGAAATAAAGTAACAAGTAAAATATGAAAAAATTAATTGGAAAACCGAAAAAAGTACACCGAAATTATATGAATCTAGGAAAGTCTTCAATCCTATTTTCATTGTAATAATTTAATAAATAATATTATAATATGTCAAACTAAAAAATAAAGTAAAAAGTAAAATAGTAAAAAATTATATCGAAAAACCGAAAAAAGTCAACCGAAATTGTATGAATCTAGGAAGGTCTTCAATCCTACTTTCATTGTTATAAATTTAAAAATCATTTTGTAATGTTTTATTTATATATTTTTTAATATAATTATTATAATAAACCTAACAAATTAAGTAACAAGTAAAAAATAAAAAATTAAATCCGAAAAAGTGCATCGAAATTGTATGAATTTAGGAAGGTCTTCAATCCTATATTCATTGTAATAAATTAAAAATAATATTATAATGATATATTTATATATTTTCTAATATAATTATTATAATAAACCTAAAAAATAAAGTAAGAAGTAAAAAAATAAAAAATTAAATCGAAAAACCGAAAAAAGTGCACCGAAATTGTATGAATCTAGGAAGGTCTTCAATCCTATTTTCATTGTAATAATTTTAAAAATAATATAATAATATTTTAAACTAAAAAATAAAGTAATACGTAAAAGTTAAAAAAAAATAAATCGAAAAACCGAAAAAAAAGTGCACTGAAATTGTATGAATCTAGGAAGGTCTTCAATCCTATTTTCATTGTAATAAATTAAAAAATAATATTATAATGATTAATTTATATATTTTTTAATATAATTATTATAATAAACCTAAAAAATAAAGTAAGAAGTAAAAAATAAAAAATTAAATCGAAAAACCGAAAAAAGTGCACCGATATTGTATGAATCTAGGAAGATCTTCAATCCTATATTCATTGTAATAAATTAAAAAATAATATTATAATGATTTATTTATATATTTTCTAATATAATTATTATAATAAACCTAAAAAATAAAGTAAGAAGTAAAAAATTAAAAAATTAAATCGAAAAACCAAAAAAAAGTGCACCGAAATTGTATGAATCTAGGAAGGTCTTCAATCCTATTTTCATTGTAATAAATTAAAAAATAATATTATAATGATTTATTTATATATTTTTTAATATAATTATTATAATAAACCTAAAAAATAAAGTAAGAAGTAAAAAAATAAAAAATTAAATCGAAAAACCGAAAAAAGTGCACCGAAATTGTATGAATCTAGGAAGGTCTTCAATCCTATTTTCATTGTAATAAATTAAAAAATAATATTATAATGATTTATTTAAATATTTTTTGATATATTTCTTATAATAAACCTAAAAAATAAAGTAAGAAGTAAAAAAATAACAAATTAAATGCAAAAACCGAAAAAAGTACACCGAAATTGTATGAATTTAGGAAGGTCTTCGATCCTATTTTCATTGTAATAGTGTTATAAATAATATTATAATGTTTTATTTTTTATCTACATAATTTATGATATAATTATCATAATAAAACTTAAAAGTAAGGTAATAAGTAATATAAATAAGAGATCGTACGCCATCTTAGAAAATTACACATAAATTGAATAAATCTGGGAATTTCTTTAAGTTAATTATAATGTATTATGAATTTAATGCACAATAAGAATTATTTGTTTGTTTAAATTTACTTATTTTGCTGTTTCCATAAGAGAGGCTTCGTTAGAATGAGACAACCATATGCACTCCTGTGTTTGGTATTTGACTTAAGTCCACGCACGGTCACACCGTTTTCATATTGTGAAAAGAAAAGATCGCAGCTCCGCAAATTTTGTTTCTTTTGTTAAAAACTAAAAAGTGGTAATAGTTTAAACGATTAATTTATACTCGAACTAATGCTTGCAACATCCTTTGTCGTTCTAGATTGTTTATGGAGCCGATGGTCAGCCCGTTCGACCGGACTCGAAGCGCGGCCGGGGCAAAGGCAAGTCCTCTGCCGCCGGGAATAGCGCGGGAAGCGCCACAGGTATCGCCGCCGGCAATGGGACACCAACAACTGGGGTAAGTGATGGAACCATTCCACTTGACTTTATTTGTCCTCGTCCTCCGCGTCCTCTCTCCCTCTGCGTATTTTATTTTATTCATGGGAACTAATTAAGTCACGCGACGGCACTCCTCGCAGACAGTGTGTCTGTGGCCGCGCAAGGGATTTCCCCAAGTCCAGAGCCCGAACGTGAAGCAAAAAAACAAGCGGCTACAGAAAGCGAAACCCCAAACCCCAGATTCCGTATTCCGGAATCCGAATCCCCAAGACCAGGGACCCCTATGGCCTGCCTTCGTTTTTTTTCCCGCCATAACCACATTTTCCACGTCATCACGCCTGTCGTCACTTGCTTTGTTTTTTGCCAAAGGCAGGGGTTACACTGGGGGAAATATTGGGGAGATTTATGTATTTCTATATATATGTAAATAGGGAGATATATTTATATGGATTTTCTTATGGAATTTTGAGCTTTTAAGGTTTGGTATTTAAAAAATCAAGAGAATTTATGATTTTAAAGTTTGAAAAAGACTCCTTTACTGAGGGTTTAATAACCAGCAAGCTATCTTAGCTTACTTCTAGGCCTTTTCTTATATTTCAATGATTTAAAATATAATATATAATATATATCAAAGAATTATTTTATAAAAAACTACATATTAATCACATTTAAAGACACATTTCACCCTCTCAAAATAATTCACTGTGCAGTGTTTGTCATGGGCTTCCCCGAGAGGCAATCCCAGAGACAGACTCAGACCCAGTCCCATCCCCAGACCCAGGGCATCCAGACATCCAGACATAATCTCCACCGCAGGCCACCAACCGCACGTACATAGCTGGGGGTCACCACCATAAAAATCTGCCAACACAAAAAAAAAAAAACGAAGAGAAACGAGAAAAATAACAGACAAAGTTGTGCCTGCTCACTGAGTGGTGACTGGTGGTGTGCCGGCTGCCTGCTGCCTGGTGCCGTGTTGACTTGCTCAAAGGAAGGGCAGACCAGACCAGACCAGGCCAAGCCGGGCCACTTGTGTTGTGCCAGAGGATGTGGCAGCCACAAGCCGCACGTAGCAGAGCCAGATACCCGAGCCAAGACCCAGAGACAGACCCAGACCCAGAGTCAAAGCCAGGAAGGAGCAGCAGCTACTTATTGTTGCCAAGAGACTGGGTCTCTGGCTCCGTCGTCGCCGCCCTTTTGAGTCTTGCGCTTTTTGGGTCTGGGCAAGACGAGGGGGGAGGGAGAAAACCCGAGGAAACCCGGGAAATTGCCACCGGCTGCCAGTGACTTTGACCTTTTTGCGTATGCGGCCAAAGGGGATTTCCCTTTCAGTAGCAACACGCAGGCCATCCCAGCCACGTCTCGCTAGCTCGATGTCATTGGGATTTCAAGGTCGGGGACATCGTAAAAACTTGACACAACCTAATACACTCAATGGGAATGTGAATGAAGGCCACTTAATAGAGTGAATGACATAGGAAGAAAAGGTCTACAGACCTTTGTACACCAACAAAACCTTAAATATGACAGAGATTTAGCTTAAAGTCTAGCAGCTAATGCTTGACTTAGGAAGGCTTTCCAAAAATTAAGAGTAAGGATGGTTTTTCCTATATTTTAACTAAATTATTATACTTTCTTTAAAACAAAATACCCACACAATCTCTAACTTTATCATATATATTTTATGTAGAGTCTATGACAGCTCCCTGCTTCTTCAATGGAATAAAACTCCACTTTCCCCAGTGGGTTAGCTCATCACTCATGTGACTTCATGATGGCCTGCCATCCCACACTCGCATCTCTCATCAGTTACCAGCGATTTGTTTGGCAAGCGAAAACTTGTGGCAAACATCTGTGACTCTCGAGGAGGTACCACAGCAAATGAGGCGTTGATTATGTTGTCACAGTGACTGGCAGGGTGACTCCCTGTTGTGCCACAAAACACACACACAGACAGAGAGTAAGAGATCTCGAGGACTCTCCTTGTCGACCCATAAAAAGACACATCCTCTTAGCCGGCTGCATCACGCGTGGGTCTCCTTTTGGCCATAAAATCAGCCAAAGCAACAGGTTGCTTGCTGAGCTGTCTGGGTGTCTTATGGAGGCGGAAAAAACCCCTCGAGTTTGCAGGCTCCACAGGAGCCGCAATCCTAGTCTATGGGAAATTTCCTTCAAGTTTTCCGGCACCAAGCTTTTGGGCTTGCAACACTTGCAAAGTTTGTGAAAGTGAAGTGCACTGAAGTTCGTTCGTTCTTTCATTCTTTCGTTCTTTCTTTATTTTTCGATGGTATTTGGTGGCCCAGTGACATGGAGGACGCAGGACACGGCAACAGAAACACGGTTACAGCTCTATTTTGTTGTTCTTCTTGTTGTTTTTGAGCGGAAAATTCAGGTCGCGGTGCAGTGCCAGGAACTACAAAAAAAAGGACGAGGAGTAGGGAACAGAAATTAACAGCAGCGGAGCTGGGGAAAAGGCAAAAATCCATTGGCATTTGCGGCACCGGGATTTGGCCAAGGACGAGCTTTTGCCACGGTCAGGGGCATATCCATGGCATCCATGACACTCTCTCTCTCTCACGCTCCCTTACTTTCCCTATGAGCCTCGTTGGCAGCCGTGATTTTCCCGCGGAAAAACTCCCCTGGCGGCATACTTTGACGCCTGCATGGCGACCAGGGGCATCGCATCCATGCACTGGAAATTAATTTTGGTATGAAAACCTTTAAGGAAATGTGTGATAATGTTTATACTTAGAGATTCTAAAGTTTAATTAGGAATATATTCCCAAAGAAGTTAGTTTTTGATACTTCATAAATACTTCTTAATATTTGCAATCTATTTCTTATGTATTACATTCTACGATATCCCTTAATTGATTTATTCTTTTTATTTCCTGTGCACCTTTTGGCCTTCATGTTCATGTTTGCATGCAGTTACACCAGCAATTTTTTGGGGCCAGGACAGCCAGCCAGCCTGGCAGTTGGCCATTGTTCAGCTCCATTCCAGTGCGGTTCAGTTTCTGGCCGGGTCGGATTGGGTCGCATTGTGTTGAGTCGGGTTTTTTGGCTTTGATGGCCTTTGCCTCGCTTTAGTCGCTGTTGCCCAGTCACATCTCCAGGCCACAGTCCGCAGTCCACAGACCAGGGACCAGGGACCTGCAGTCCCGGGTTCACAGTTGGCGTTGGATTTGTCCTTTTTGGCCAAAAGGCAATGTCAGCGACAACAACTTGTTGCACTTTCCCTGCTACTGCCACACTCCTCTTTTCCTTTTTTTCTCGTTTTTCCCCTTTTGGCTGCAAATCTGCATATACATTGGTTTTATTCAGAATGCGGCTGGAGTTTTGTCATACAAAAGTCAACACTAGGCTGCTAGGTAAGGGTTTTCTATGGTGATATAAAAGGTAAGATACAGAAAAGTATCTTTGGGATTTATTCCGGTTTTTCCATTTATTTCAATTATAAATTCTACAAATTTGTAGAGTATGACAAAACCTTTGAAAATATGTTATAGAAAAATCCCTGATTTTATCAAACACATTATTTCATAATAATTAAAGCTCTAGCTAAAGATCTGCAGCTCCTCTAGCTAAATCTAAACACAGAGCAACTTCAATTACGTGTTAATTTCTTTATAATACAATACAAATAATCAAAACTATATCTTTAATAATCAAGCATTTCAAAAACCTTCCTTAAGCCTGTTGCCTGGTGTCTTTTTTGACACATTGCAGTTGCATTTTTTGGCTTACAAACACACACACACACCCACACACAACCCCATTGCCTATGAATGAACCCACGATGCCCACCCACGGACTCTCTGGTTTCGCTGGGAATGGGGCCATCCTCTGGCCACCAGAGTGCTCGGTACAACGACCATAGCCGGTGGCAATTAGTCAGCACATGGCAGCAGCGAGGCAACCCAGGCGATGCAATCAGCCTGTCACAATGTTTGGACATGGTCATGGCACGCAAGAGAGGGAGGAGGGGGAAGGCCAATGTGGTTGCAACCTGCAACCTGCAACTTCAACAGGGAGCCACTTCACTTCACTTTGCGTCTAATTAGGCGGCGCCTGCTGTAAAAGCCGCTCAACGACTAGTTGGGAAGTCTCTTTAAGGCTCTTTAAGACTTTGACTTTGACTCTGACTGTGGCCACACCTCCGCCACTTGGCCATCGCTCAAAAAACCAAGATAAGAAAAAAAAAGGCCAGAAGTTGCAGACATAATCGTAAAATGCCAAGATGTTGGCGCCAAGACGGCTGGCGAGTTGCTACCTCAGTGGCACAGTACCACCAACCGTGACAGCGTGGCAGCAACAGGCAGCTAACATCCACACGAAGGAGGAACTGGGATACGGACCTGGGACTGGGACCGGGGACTGGGGACCGGGAACTCCTACGTGCTATGGCGATACAAGAGAGCTTACAAAACAGCTCGTAAAAAACAGACCCACGAGCAGCAACAGCAGCAGCAGGCGGCAGTCAGACAATTTGTCGTCCAACTGTCCGCATTGGAGGCACCAACGAGCAGCGAGCAACAAGCAACACCAGCAACAGACAGCAGCAGCAGCAGCAACACCAGCAACACTTGCGAAAAAAATAACCATGAATATCTCAAGCTTATTAGAGAAAGACTTAAAATGAGACAGATCAAGATAATAAACAAGGATTCAGAGGAAAATAAGTCAGTATATAAGCAATGCTCTCTAAGGAAAACTATTTCCTCTCACTTAAACGAACTTAACTAAGCCCACATCAAATTTCTTTCAGTGTTTCTGGGTCTGATGTCCCAAACTGTAAGAGGAGACCCGGCGACAGGGCAACTTTTGGCACACGCAGCACGTGAGCCCGTCGTCATCGTCGTTGTCCGGTGTCCGCAGAGTAAAAGGCAACCTGTCTGCGGTTGCTGCCGCTTCTGCCACTTGGCTGTCTTTATTTCTTTTATATATATATACATATATATGTATATAGTCCCCGCTTATGAGAGACGGCGGATGGTATTGGGATACGGATACCATTGC